ATATAATCCCTGGTTAAATTTTATCCCTGCTCTTGAAAATTACAGTTAATCCTGTGTGCAATATTGGTTATGAAGTGCACGTTAAAGAGAGTAAAACGCGTTAGGGAACAGCAAGGGAATATTGTCCAATTTACCACCATTTTTGTTGTACATTATTGTATTGGTATTCCACACCACCCCCACCTCTACCTGTCACTATAATATGTCCTTAAAATACTGCCTGTTTTAATGATCACGACCTTAGCCTATACAATAGTGTTTAACTATGTTCGATGCAATGTTAGCTATGTGGATAATAATCGATACAGTGCTCGTTGGCATCAATAGAAAAAAAATGATAATGATATTGTAGCATTGAGGAAAAGTTATCATGCAGTAGTGAACGATTCAAATTCTATGCATTCATTAGTTGGTGGATTACAACTTCAATTATAGGCCTATTTAGCACTCTATTCTTATCTATTCAGAATAGGCCTACGCTTAAAGTGCGGTGCTGTGATCATCAAAATACATTAGGTTCTCTTCTATTGTGTTAAAGAAAATGCAAAAGAAAGATTTGTTTTTCTTGGAGATGTGACATTGATATGTATAATATATGACTGTTATTGATCTACTTAGAGATATAATTCTTTGATATTATTACTGTGTCATCAGAATTTCATCTTGTAATAATCTATTTTGATTTCTTAGCATTTCATTCATTTGATCATCTGTTTACTGATGATTATTACTGTGTGTGGTCATTAGAACATATTGATTAACCTTACGCTCTCAAATAGGAAACGATCTGTAAGGTGTGTCGGTGATAAATAACCGACAGAATGCGCCGACGGTCATCGGCCTACACGATACTATGAGGAACGCTGCCATCACCAGTCTTTCACGAAACGTATCGTTTTTTTTATGGCGAACTCTTCAGACTGCCACCGACAATCATCAGACGGCGTCGCGTCGCCTAGCGCTCACAGGGAGCGGAGTTGGATTCGTCGCACGACGCAGTGAGTGCCCGGCTAAAGCAAAGCGCGACGCGCACGAAAGATCATTTTTAATGACGATCCGCTCCGTCTGGCCTGCTTACGGATGAGATGAAGTCACTGGCGGAGATGAAGTCACTGGCCGAGGGCGGTAAATCCGTCGTAAGACGTGGTGTGTACAAGGTTTACGAACCAACCCATCATACGGATAACAACTGAAACGAGATAAGATTTATATTCGTCGTACAAGTAGAAAACACATGAAATTTGTTTTCCTTGTGCAGTAAGTTAGGTAAAAATGGCTGACAGTTGTTTCGAAAAACTGTTTAATTTGAAAATCATATACTGCCATTTCATACGTTAACTTGCGTATACATACATTCCGAAATCAAAACTTATGAAAATTGAACTTTCAAAAACCCGGACATACCAAACCTCATGGGAGATGAGACTCTAGCCAAATCGTTACTTTCTTTACTATGAGTAATAACTATAAAAATCTTGTCGGATTTATGTGCTTTATCACACTAATTCCGTGTATCTAAGTGCACATAACGTATGTGAAATTGAAGACCAAAAGCCTATATTTTCGATTTTGACAAAACCTTTTTCCACCTGCGTTTGCCACCAAAAGTTCAAAAGCTCTACGCCACAGCAAAATACCTATTAATGTAAAATTATAACGGAACGGATGAATAGCTTTCAGACAGGTGCGTGGTTTTGAAATGCCCAAGGTTCGAAAAGTTCAGGTTGCGAAACCCCTGTAAAAAATAAGCCTACATGATGTATATGTTATCAAAGACTTTTAAAATGAATTGATGGGTTAGATTATTAAAAAAACAAAACAAAAAAACATTAATTTTATACAAAAATAAAAATAATAACTACATTCAATTCATCATTCAATGTGTCACGCTAATACGAAAATAAACGAAAATAAATAATCTTCATAATAATAATAATAATTATTATTATTATTATTGTTAAAATTAATATTATTATTATTAATAATAATACTGTACTATTCCAAAGTCAACAAGACTCATACACACCAAATTATAGTTTTAAAATGTAAAATGCTTAAGTAGGTCCACCTATTAAAATTCAAATAAAACGTTATAATTGTCATTTAAAATAAATTTATAAGTTATTTTATAGGTTAATAAAATAT